CGAAATGCCAAGTGCAAACACGTCGTACGAACAGTCACGAAGGCCAAGGTGCACTGCACATTCTTCTATCAGACCTTTGAAGTCCTTCAGCGCTTGGTCACACTAAAGGTTTTCAAAAAGAAAACAAGGCTTACACGTTGCTACCCTACAGAGAGCAGACAACAACACACCCAAGGATGTGCGAGTCAACGCGTAAACTTTAACAGTGAGATGAATAAACTAGTATGGTACATGAAACAGAGGGTGGATGGAATGCGCCGGCAAAGGTGGATGTTTTGCATCAGCAGGATTATCCCTTGGGGTGCAAACCCATGTTGCATAGTGGGAGGGGGAGAGCACTGGTGTAGCTTGGGTGAGGGAAACTGCTGGTGAGGCTTGAGGGGGGCAAGTGCACCTTTTGCACCTTCTTGCCAATGCCCATCGTGATTATGGACACTGACGACTGCCACGGTTTTGATGCCCTCTCCTCTCTTCCCTTCACACAGCACGGTGACGCGAGCGCATAGTTGGCAGCTTTCTGGAAGCAATCGTTCGCATTGTTGGTAGAGTTCTGGAAGTATCGCACCTCAAACAAGTGCATTTGTATTTGAGAAGCAATGGCACCAACTCACAGTGCGATTACAGCATGACCTTTTAGCAAATGGTCATTTTTGCTGAGAAAACTTCTAACCTGCAGCACAAGTTCAGCTTGCAAGAAAAGAATGTGCAATGATGGCGTAGACAATGGACTGAACAGTATAGCTGCACAGCAAACTGCTAGGCGTTAAATGGATCGAAAAATGGGCTGACGATGTGAGACAGAAGTTGTTGCCATTTTTATCAGAGAACAAAGGGAAAAGGGAATGACCAGTGACAACATAGATTATCCAGGCGAATGCCATGGAAGCTGTCAATATCAAACGTGCCACAAGCCAATTTTAAAGCAAGCCAGAGCTGGGCAACACACTTTATGAGGCGGTTTCGTGTTCTGGCTCAGACGACAGACCTCAGCTTGTCAGAAGCTGCCTGCAAACTTCAAGAGCTTGTCAAGTTTTAGTGCTACGTGATAGACAAACTGTGGGAAAAGGGCAACCAACTAGGGCAAACTGCCAACACTGACCAGATCTCAGTTTCATTCAACATGCCAGGGCATACATTGTGGACAAAGTGGGTGTAAAGGAAGTCAAACTTTTGACGGTGGATTACAAAAAGCAACGAAACACAGTGATGTTGTGCTGTACCACTGATGGACCAAGATGATGCCTTCTGGGATGCACTCAGCAATACAGAGTAGGGGCGATGTTGTAAACAATGATGAAAATGATGAATAAACGATATACGTACAGGGGAGTCAAAAGTTCCCAAGCCACTATCCCACATATTTCTATGGGTACATGGCCTGGCAACTTTTTATCCCCATACCCTGTACATGCCCGCAGTTCGTGCTTCTGCTTACGCAGTAAAAATGCTAGGTTTTCTGCCAATGACAAATCGTTTTATTCATGTGACCTGCATTCGAGTGTGTTTTTTTTTGGGAGGGGGGAGGGGAGGGGCTTGCGTATTTCGAGGGTCTGCCTAGATTTGAGTAAACACGATTCACAACAAAGGGTAGCGGCAACATAGCCACAACCGTTCCTGGCCATCTGAGGTCGAAAAACTCACTCATGAGCCGACTCACTCATACTCGTACCAAAAAAACTGGCAGGAAAGGGAAGATGAACACTTAAATGTAAAAATCTGCAAATGTGTGTGTTTGCTCGAGCCGATATTTCAACAAGTTGAGTTGCCTTCTTTAAAGGGCCACTCACCATGTTTGACAATTTTGAGCTGACAAGCACAATGCGTAGGCGAGGTGTTCATGATCACGTCTGACAAAATTTGCAACGCTACGCGCCGCGGAAATGGGTCAAACTTTAAGATGAATGCTGCTCCCCCTCTTTTCTGCTGGCACGCGCCCAAAGAATGAGGTCATGACGTGCGCATATGAGTGGCCCTACATGCAAGGCAATGCAGTGACGTTGGTCCTCTACGTGGACAACTATGCTCTGACGTTGCAAACAGTGGCACGTGACATGGCGAAAATTATTTACCACGGCATGCGCAGTTTATGTAATTTGTTGCTTGAAGAGATTCATAAAGCTCTAGATAAATAATGAGACTCAATAAGGAAATGTGAGAGCTTTTTTTTCCATTTTTCTCCCGTGAACTGCAACGAGATGCGGGGCTAATGTGTTGGCGTTTCGCATGCGTTCGTGTACCTGCAATCAGCGCATCGAGCAGACGACCACCGTGGAACGCTCCAACGGGTTCGCGCACTCATCACACAATGCTGGCGAACGCTCCTACGCGATTGCGCACCGCGTCTAAGCCAGCGTTTCCAAACCATCCCGCAGAAACAGGCAGAAGACCACAAAATAACGCTGGCCAACAAAGAAACGCCACTCCCGTGCTCAAAGGTTGGACTTGTTTGGGCACATCAAGCGCATGTGACGTCTTGGTCGGATGCCGGAGAGGGTGGGGAAGAGATTTGGCTTGCGAAGGCCAAGGAGCAGCAAGGGTTCTGAGCTCGCATCTTTTCATTCTCGTTTCGCACCGCTTCAAAAACCCGTTTTCTCCACTCGTAATAAACCCCTTCAAAAAATTTTTGTGCTAAAGTGTTCCTCATCGGACACCCAACAACTTCCACTGTCTAACTAAAATTTGGTATGATGCCTGGTAGGTGGCCCTTTAAGGCTGCATGGAACTGCCTTGAAGCCTTGAAGAAGACAAGTCCACTTGTTAAAATGCCAGCTTGAGCACACACACCCCTTGTTTATAGACTGTTTCATCATACTTTTGCAGAGTCGTGAGCCTCAGTGCATATTTAGTGAGCTCAAGTCCGAGTGAGTCTATTTCAGAAAATTTTCAGCGAACTTGAGTCCAAGTGAATTCAGTTAAAAAACTTTTTCAATCTGAGTCCAAGTGAGCCCTATACTTAAAATATACTTGTTGCCCGGGCCCAAGTGAGCTCAGTGTGTATGTATATATATATAGGCAGACCCTCAAAACACGCAAGCCCCCCCCCCCCCCCCCCCCCCCTAAACACTCGTATGCAGGTCAAATGAATAAAACGACGTGTCATTGGCAGAAAACATAGCATTTTTACTGTGTAAGCAGAAGCACACACTGTGGGCATGTTACATATACATATACAGACAATAATGCCAAGGGAAGTATAGGGGAAATTATTAAACCGAATGGTAAGGTAAACGTGAAGAAAGAAAAGTGGGTGAAAAGATAACTTGCCGTTGGCAGGAACCAAACCTGCGACCTTTGAATAACGCATTCGATGCTCTACCACTGAGCTACCACGATGGCCCGCTATTCCCCCAGTCACTTTATAGGGTATATATGTGAATTTAAACATATAATTTGCGCACTTTTTTTCGGAATTTTCAAAATCTGAACAGTGAGTGCACAAATTATGCGAAGATTTTGTGAATGCATCTGCAATAATGTGCGATAGTATAAAGTTCCAACGTGTGCAGTATATACATTAAAAAATAAAATAGGTAGCACAAATGAAGAGTACTCGTTTATTTAACAAAATTAGCACGTACATTAACCAGCTCAATCTAGTCATGCATGGTCTAGTCAAAATCACTGGCCGAAAGAGCGAGTCGTCTTCGGTACCGTAAAGCGCGCTCAAGTACCCCATTTTCTTGAAGCTGTTCTCGCCATGCTAGGAGAAACCAGGTTCCACGACACAACGGTACCAGTGAACCCAGGCTTTTGCACATTACAGGTCTTCTAAAGTCACATCACAAAGAAACCAGCAGCGTAGACATAGTTAGCAGCTGTGGTGGCAGTTGCAGCACAAACTGTCCCATCATTCATGCGTTCCGCTTTTCATAGTCTCTGCATGCGCCGGAGGCCTGAGCACTTTCACCGCGGTGGTGACTAGTGCCACCTAACACTTCACCCTTATTTACTATCATCATGGTCATACTCTGCTGAAGTTGTTCGTTAGGTATTGATTTCTCCAAACTTCAGTTCCGCTGTCGGTTATGGCAAGCAGCGCTCAAGCCTTCAAGACGCTGAGATGATGCGACTCGAACCCTACAGTGCTGATAGCTCTCTCTGGAGTTGTCAGAGTTAACTAATGTGCGGCTAAATCTCTCCGCATTAATGAGCATTTCACACCATTGAAGTACATACAGTTTTGCTAGGACAGCACCAAGAGTCCATGTTAACGTAATTTCAGAGTTGATCAGATTTCAATAAACGAGACTTTACTCTATACATTTATTGATCAGAGGCGTGAGTGATAACTGGAGGGAGTGCCTTGACTTCCCCTTTCAAACTCTTTCACTGGAAGTTCCTGATAAATATAGATCATGTCACTGGATTGCAACCGCTTATCAGATTTACTGAAGGTACGAGATCAAAAAGTGCTCCGTAAAGCACTGATTATGTGAAATATTGACGTTAAACAGCAATGACACTGATAAAAAAAGCTAACGTGCTCATGAGCCGACTCACCCAGGCTCAGGCTAAAATGCAATTCTGAGCCTGACTAATGGTAAGTAATAAGTACAGTAGACTCACGTTGAGCGGAACCTGAAGGGACCAGAGAAACATGTTCCGTTAAGAACATGGTTGCATTTACGGAGGGGAAAAAAAAAAAAAAAACGAGTATAAATTTAAAGTATGAAACCACCCATATTTGAAACAGTAATATCTTGTGCACCACCGAAAGGAAAAAAAAAAAACTGTTTGGCACGTCACTCGTTCACACTACCGATAAAAATCGGTGACCTTAGTTCTACCTACACCTTTGTTCTGCGATGTCTCTTCTGGTGCGCAAGTATGAAGCACATAAAGGTTTATTTTAGTTACCAAGCTGAGAGAGCAGAACACAATCCTTAATCTTCTACGACTTTCCTCGTGTTGGCAACACTTGCACAATCATTCACCGGCTGCAGAAAGAGGTGTGAGCGGCACCAACACACAAACCAGAAAGACAGACATGGTCCACGCACCTCGGACTCGTGTCCTCGCCGGATTCCCTGGAGGTGCTGACACAGAAGCGCTTGATGGCACCCGTGACATCGTCGTCGGTGCTCAGGGGCAGCCGGTTCTTCTTTCCATGCAACCCTGACCGAGCCTCCGAGGAGTGTCCCAAGCTGTTGCTGCCACAGTCGCTAAAAGAAGTGCAGATTGGCAGGTCAGTGCTAAGCAGCTAGCCTGGCTATCACAAAGCCCCGAGAATAGAAAATTCTCACCCACATTGATTCAGTCACCAAAAACTACACTGGCAACTACAACCCACTGCATCCAGACAGCAGCAGAAAAATGAAAACATTCTTCAAACAGTGTTCACCTGCCGATCGGTGGAAATTCAGTGAGTTGTTGACATAATACCAACTTCATTCATTTACTCACTTGTATAATCATTTGCAAAATGCTGGAGTAACTATGACTAGTGTGCCGTTAGGAGCAATATAAGCTGAAACACCGAATTAATGTTTATTCAATGATTACTTCTAATGTACCGATATGAATGTGATGTACCGAACTGGATGAGATACTTTCCTCTTTCAGCATTTATTGTTACCAACACTTTGCACTTGCCAACTACATTTAGGCCAATACCCTATCTACTTGATTGTAAGTTGACACGAATGTAGGTCTACCACCAAAAATGGCACGGCACAAAAAGAAAGGAAGCACAAGCACACTTAAAAAAAATTTTAACACATTGTGATGCCACTGATTTGCAAAGATGGCTTCACTGCACTACTTGAAAGCTGTTCAGAAAAAGATAGCTTTGCCGAAATACGCGGAGATCATTTTTAGAAATACTTCACAATCGAAAGTCGTTTTCAATTCTAGGTCGACCCTTCAACATCGGATTGTCAAATTTTAAAAAAAATGGGTCGACCTACAATTGTGTAAATAAGGTATGACCTGCAAAGGGCGATTCCAGTGTTGTAATTCATCTATACCTAGCAATGATGCATACATACACAATAAACAGACAATAGCAAGGATTCTTTCCAAACTTCGCTGCATAGCACCATTTTGTCTCAGAACAGGTCAAAGAAAGAACACAGTGCACCTAAAAATTGAGTGCTGGATGCGAGTTCTCTAGTGTGGACCTATGAACAACCATGATGCTAATACAGAGTCCACAAGATTAGGATGGTAATACTCACCGATTATTTATTCAGTTTATCGTAATGTTACATTACATGCACTCAGACATCGTTGCAGGAGGCTACATTTGGAACAGAACAACTATGGTTCCAAAAAACATAAAATTAAGACATGACAGCATACAAATAAACTAGGCATTTGCAGGAGGGTAGGTAGGCGGGCCAGTTAGCAAAGATTCATTATCCAAACTTAGCAGCACAACCAAACGAGACACAGAAAGAGTTTCGTCACTGCCATCAGCTCTATTGTGTGTTCCTTCTCTTGGCGCGTTGCATTTGTGTGAAGTTCAGGACGTGATAGAAACTCGAAGAGATTAGAAGCTGTCAGGCAAGAAACGTTGCTTATGCGAACAGTTCAAAAAGAGCATTTGCCTCCACCTCATCTAGCTCCAGCAGTGCTACTCATCTTATAATTTCTCATTCCCAGGTACATACAACATTCATAAAGTAGGATTGAGTGTGCAAAATGCACAGCTGCTAATACTCGTACCCCTCACATTGCTATAAGATCAATAACAGTTGCATTGACAGTGGTAATCCATGATAATAACATCGGTAGCAGTAGCATCAACAGAAATTATTGAGTCACCCTTACCTTGCAGGACCCGCCCTTAGGGCATCGGCCAGGGCATAGCCATTCTCCCGAGGCATCTCTTGCTTCACTGACGAGAGGCTAGGCAGAGCGAGCAAGGCATCGCTGCAAATAATCGATTGCAGAATGTTACCAAATTGTGGAGATATACTTTGGCACAATCATTCAGCAAGCACTATTGAGTGACTATTATTTCACATTGCCCACATATTACGTCTAGTAAACTTGTCATCATAGTCAACATGAAAAGAAATTATGTGCAGTTTCACTTTAACTGAGAGCATCTAATTATAAGTCTAAAACTGACTACAGGATATGATTGCGCATCACATACTTCAGCGCACATCACACTTAACCCATATATGCCCAGTGTCCTACGTGTAGGACCCCGAAACTTTTCTGTGTAACTTGAAGGTTTTTTCTATAAAAACAGGTAGCACCACCTAAGGTGAGTTTATCATGCCCTGTCCTCGTCACATGCAAGTCCAGGTGATCACTGGACTACAAATAGCCACGTGCTTGCAGTCACAAAATTGCTATTTCGCGTGCGTGTAGCTCCGCTTTATAACACACAAAAAAAGCGATATAGAGTATAATTCTTCCCGATGCTGCTGATATTTTTTTTGTCAATTGTTCATCAGTTATTGGGTGTGCAGTAACCTTTGTATGGCAGTGATAGGCGCTAATGTTTTTTGTTTGCAGTGTGTCATACGTTGGTGCCCTACATATAGGATGGCTCCGAAACCATTATTCAAAAGAGTTTTTTTTTTAATAAAAGCCTTATTATGTTTTTTGAGGTAATAGAAGCAATCATTGTGGGGAAATAAAACAGTTTTGTTCAGTTTCCCAAATTTGGGCATATATAAGTTTATGTCTAAATTAATACATCATGATTATTTTAAAAAAATCTGTCAATTAAGTAGCCAGAATGTTAAATTTATGTGCCTTCAATAACACTTGTATGTTCCCACTAAGAGTAATTTGTACTGTACACACATTACCACAACTACTTTAGTAAGAGCTAAAAACAAAATGCATGTGTATGCCACGAGAAAGCACCCCCGGAAGGCACTGCCCATGGACCAAACTAAACAACTTATGAAACACTCTCTCAGCATACATTGTGCACTTGTGTGGACCAATGAGCGTGCTATGTGCTGGCATGCATTTGTATTCATTCCAGATCAATCAAGGAAGTAATGTTTTGCTTGCGCAGCTTCATAAATTGAGATCTCTTTTTCTGTGCATAGCTAAAAACTTAACCAAGTAACAGTTTCATTTTTCACAGTGGAGCTGTTCAAGCCATGATTTGATGCATTCATGGTGAACAGAAGACTCCGTGCCTCAATGACTTTGCATAGCAATCGCTGGAACAACTGCGTATAGCTTCATGCCTGTTTCGTGAGCCCAGGCACAGCTATGCTGAGCTCCTACAAGCGTACGCAACTGCACATGCACCGCGTCATCACCGCAGCGACCTGCACTTGGCTCAACTCTGCCTACCAACATCAATACATCTCACAACCCCTCTGCTCTGCCAGTCGTGACGAGACGACTGGCCGAGCTCACTACGCCGTCTTTCATGGGGTCGCAGAAGAAGGGTTTACCTTGGCCTTGCTGCTCAGAGTAATGTTGCTGCAGAGCCAAGCCACGGACATTGGCCCTGACAAACTGCTGTAGATGGACACTTGACATGCCTTACCAAGACACGGAACAGCCAAATGGAGATCGACAATTCAAAACTTTAGTATAACCTCAAAATACCAGGAGCAACTAGGTGCTGATCAGCTCCACTGTGTCTTGTTTTGGGCCATTAAGGCAAGCTATGCACCACTTCCTTTTGACGTGACAGACGCCTTGTGCATTGTCTTTATTAATAGCAAATCAGTAGCCAACATGAAAACAAGCATCTGCAAGCGTATTTTTTTTTAGACACAAACAAAGAGGCTTATTATTATAAAAAAGGAAGGTACCTACCTCATGTTGAACGATGCAGTGCCCAGTTCCATGCCCAGGCCAGAGAGGCTGCCATCGAAGTCCGCAGCCAAGGCATCATCAATGTCATCGATCTGCCAATGGCCCACGGAGGTCATTCCAAGGCTCGCCAGCACGACGCACTATGAGGCGGTGCCTGCATGCAATCCGAGCAACAGTGTCGACCTGTCGGTGCACGTGACAATGTGTGATGCATGACACATGACAAGCCCACTGTGCAAACGTTTCGCTGTGAACCCTTACTTTATGATTGTAAACCTAGCTTAAGTTTCTCAAGCTAATTGCAGCATAGTCAATTTTCAGGTCATGCATGGACAGTTTGTCCAAATAAGGTAGACACTCAGGGAAAGATGTAATCTTGAAGCAATGAAAAGCTCCTTGGAACATGGAGTTGCTGGAGGCTCCAGCAACACCTTCAGTTCCAAGGATGTTCCACTCCTGCAACACCTTCAGTTCCAAGGATGTTCCACATGCAGTTGGTGAGGCTTACCACAAAAAAAAAAAATGCAGCTCTTTTAACAAAACCATGTGCATTGCAGCCAAGCACGGGCCTGTAGAGTTACACGTCCCTTTCACTGAACACTGACAAATACTACCATTATTCTGTCAATTAAGCAGCATGGCAAAGCAATCTCATGAGCTTTCAAAGTGTCTGTTAGGTAATACTAAGCCCAAAAGAGACACTAAGGCAAATATTAAACTGACGTGCACTGTAAAAATACCATAACGCAAGTCTTGCAGTGTTTTTTTTTTTTTAGCCAAAATGCACAATGCATCAGAAGATGGCATACTAAGGGTCTGCATACAGCTAGCACAGTCAAAATGTTCACCCCATAGCGAGATGCGATATTATGTATGCCATTACTAGTTCCTTTTACAGCTCAATGCAGCACTTTGGTCTAATGTTGGAGATGCAAAAGCACATCAGAAAATTAGTCACCAACATTGCATGGATACGAAATTTTCTCTTACTTGCAGTTAGAGCAAGTTTGAAAACAGAAAAGCCAGAGAAGCACTACAAGTGAACTAAACTACTAAAATACAAATGCCTGCACAAGAGCACTCTTTTTACAGTTACTGTTGCGAGATGGCATCATAAGTTCGGAAACCATCAGAGGTTTACAAATACTGTTGCTGAATCTCACTGTCCCAGCAACCAAAAGCATAGCCTTCAAAACTGGTGGATGTTGTTTGAAAAAAAAAAAAAATGGTCACTGGGACGAGAGTTAGGGCACCACTGCTTAGCCTACTGCCAAAATGATAGCATCTCCAGCAATAAAATAGATAGTGCACAGCTAGCATTTTATTTACAGTTTACCACACAGCAGTGATCCTTTTTATTAAGAAAACTTGAGCACACTAGCCAGAACAATTATGCCGAGGAGGTTCCACGTCATCGTGCCAGAACCAGAATGCCCACTGGAGCCGCAAGTGACATCCTACGCTTACTTTGAAGGAGTGCTAACATGAAACTTTCATGGGCAAGTTAGGCCTCAAGATTGATTTCCATGAACGTGCATATATTATAAGCGAAATAGTGTCCCATTATACCGTAGCAAGAACCTGTAACTAGCTGTTCAGCAGAACATCAGGCTGGTTCGATCACTGGCGATGAAACCTCATCGTCTTTTCCACGAGCTTGGTCTTCTTATCTTTTCAACAGCGGCACATCCTGCCAGCAACAACAGCAACAATACTAGACAATCTTATACTAGTGGCATTACCCCTCTTTCAGAAAGCATGCCACATCGCGATTATAAAAAAAAAACGACAACAACAACAAAAATACATACAGTCGCCAGTACATCAACAGCGAATATAGCTTAGAAGGTACTTTGCAGCATTTGCTCCAGCAGGCTACTTCTCCGTGGCTGCTTGGGAATCCATGCAGCACAAACGTTGAAAGTACTCTGTTTGGCGACACTGCAGTTCTGTTTCCTGTTCCAAAAGACTTCTTGATGCGGATCGTATGGAAGTGAGTCTCAGTTCTGCTGTGTGGAGCACTGCACATATCAGGTGGCGATAGCAGCACCTGCCAGTTTCTACTAACAGGCCCCCAGCCATATTACTAACAGGCCCCCAGCCACACATTGTAACAATAAAACACAAGGCTGAAATTTTTGTGTCAGTATCCCTTTAATATTTTGATAACTAAAGTGTTGACAATACTGCCATTGAAGAGGTACTCAAGTAATAACCTATCAGCCCAGTCTAAATCATGATTTGCCTGAAGCGTGCCTCTAAAATAATGAATGCATAATTCTCGACTGTCATCTTGAAAGCACTGACACAATGTTTGCTCAACTATTCTACTAATGATCTTCACATATGCCCTGCTAAAAATTTACATACTTGGAGAAACTAAAAAGAAGTCAGACCAAGGTAGGACCTATAGTCAGACCTATTAGTCTCTATTATGGATCACCTGTGATCGGCACAAAATGTGTCAAAATATTATTTACAGCTTTGCAATGCCTGCGGTAGTTCCTTGCTTCTATAGAAAGAACGTTCGGTTGTTGACAATTTATAAACCATCTTGCCTGCTTAGCAACAATTTGTTTTGCATAGCAACTAGCATTTTTTGAAAATGAACTTTCACAACTGTTGGTGACAATTTAGCTATTTCAATATTACTAAAGTAGCTCTGAAGATGGCCTTCTCGGTTGTACTGTATCAATCAAGAGTAACGCACAAGGAACTGATATATGAATCAAACATGGGCTTCACTATAAACAAGAACAGGTCCCTTAACATTAATGGTCTTTGCACAATGTTGGTGCATCACGGTTTAGTCATCAAAGACTTGGCATTTCACGCACTAAGGAAGTATTTCTTTCCTTTTTAACCGATTACAAACCCAACTTGAAGGACTTTAGGTCGGTTAGATAAGCAGCTTCATTATGTTCATTTCAGAGGTTGACGTTCACAAGAGTAGCAGTAAGGTAATTTGCTAAACTTGCTGAGGTAAGAAAAAGCAAGTGAATGGTAAGACTTGGCAATGAGCTGCAGAAAAGTGCAGATATAGGAGCAGCTGGGTTTGTTCTTGCAGTACTGAAAGATCCGATTTTGTTTCTGCCGGCCTTTCCTACCAATGAATGCTTCACGAGGCTTCTCAGTACATCAAGGAGTCAAAGCATCGTAGCTGACCAGCATAAAGGTCACATGATTGCCACCACTACAAGTATCCGACATGCCCAAAGGTCAAATAATCGTCATCACTCTGTCAATGACATGCCAAGAGCATGTGTCATCATAGAACTACAGTCTACTTTCATGAGACCACAGCTAATTTTCATTGATAACTGCAGACCAAGCACCTACTCCCACTAGGAAAATGAGGTTGCCCACGTAGTTTTGAATTGTGCTGTATTTTACAATACAAAAATGTGTGCAGTGCCATCATTAATTGTCAAATGCATTAGAAAAGTAAAAGCCATCTCCATATTTCTTTGTGAACGTGCATTGCACGGATGCTTCAAAAACATGAAACATCATGGTGGACAATTCATGTCGCTTCAGCTTACATCGTGGTGTTCTACAGCAGCAAGATCGATTTCTAACAACAATACTGTAAAATATAGAGCCCTTATTGCTGCACTCTAGCAACCTGCTTCAGTAAAATTTGGTAACACTAGAGCTTTGGTCGTCTCTTATGAAAATATGTTACTCAAGAGTGCGTAGAGATACCAGTTGCAACTTCTTAAGGAGACATAATAAAGCACGATTTATTGTTGCCTAGATGTGAAATGAAAAACAAGTGCTATTTCCAAAGTTCGAAGTAACAAGAAATGACTAAAGTACACAACTAATTATACTACAAGCACAAAATAATGCAACATAAAACCTTGCATCACTGCTATGCACCAAGCAGAGATACACAGATTATCATGTTGATGTTGTTGCACAAAATGCCATACGGGCAATGCTGGAAGCAATGAATTCGTTCAAACATCCGAAACTTACACAAATTACAGCCGTCTCCTAATCGCTCTCGGCAACAGCGATCTCGTATCACCTGCAAAAATGAAGTTGCAAGGACAACACAAAACTTGGTGTGAAAATGGTCGAACCAACACCACGGGTAACATGCAGCGTAGAGTTCTAATATCCTGTCACGCGGTCACTACACTCTGATTTTGATTGAAATCAGCCTGCACTGATTTGTTTGGTCGATACTAATCGAAGCACGTCACCGTTCCCAACCTTACAGGATCAAAGCGTTCTCGGGCAGTGACGTTCTTGGGCAGTGAAGCAGCTCTTGAAATAAACATAAACACTCGTTATAGGCGGTGTGACAGCGGTATGACCTCGGCACCAGTGAAAATGCGGGTCGCCAGACGACTGTCACTACAAGGGAGTAATCGGGCGCGAACTACACGCTTGCCTACGCCAATAGTTATTTAAATACTGGGCTTGTAAATTACCATTAGAAATGAGCTAAGAACAGATAAACTAGTAACGATTGCCAAGGCAAAATTTTCGCATAACTTGCCTACAGTGCGCTGTACGTCTGCTAATTTGTCGATCAGCTGATTCAAAGACAATTTATTATTCAATTAGAGGGTAATCAAGAGAATTCAGGCATAATTTGGCCACAAACACTACAGGCTGTCAACACTATTCGCAGCAAGACAATCCAATAACTGCATTCACGGTTGAAATAAAACTTCAAGGCACAAGCACACTCTGTTTCAGGGCAGACTGTTACCATACTCGAGCTAATAGTCGCGACAAGGTTACCGTGAATACGACACGCTTACCTTCTCCGCTTCATCGGTAAAAAAATGGTGACTGTTCAGCACACACAGACGATACTTGCACGAGGAGATATTCGAACGGTGCCGCAAAAGTTGGGCTAGTCACACTACACGGAGCTTCAAGGGGTACGGGATAGCACCAGCTGATACCACCATGGCAGAGAACACGAAAAGCGATGGCCGCTTCAGTCTTCTCGTGCTAATCAGGGCGACAAATTCCCGACACTCGACACACGCACAGCGTCGAAATTTCAACAAAGCCCGGATTTGGTCATACGTCGGTCAATTTGCAACGGCGAAGACGCGTCGGGTGCGATCAACATGAAACCCCCGAGAGCGTACACAAAAATATCAGCATTTACACGTGAGAAGCGCTGCCAGCGACAAAAGGCGAGACGGCGCGAAATCTCGCCAAGGCGTCGCCGAGGTCAAAATCTCTCTCGATTGTCGCGTAGACGACGTCGATAACACTTGCTCATGTTCTGTTAGTTTTATGAATGACGATGCGCCAGCGTAAATTTGTTGGCAAGGCTGCGCAATTTTTGAGCCTTTCTGCGACCCAGTTTTGGTTTCGGTATACCGTTCAACCGACTTCCTGCTAAATCGGCGCAGCGCGTTTGTTGGCCTTTTTGCTTTCGTGTCAACGGCGTGCTTGCGCTACCTTTACATTTACCTAAATGGAGAGCCTTGATCGAACATGGTTCTGCACACATTTTGGGGTCAGTGCCATCAGTTGCAAATTAGAATGAAGTAGTAGGCGCGCGCTTGTTACGCTATGGGAGAGAACGTTTCTTTTGATGAAACGTGACCAAGATACCACGATCACGTGATATCCACGTGCGATGGCTAATTAACGACCTTGCGCGAGTATTTCGGGGAATGTTTCCTCTAATCATAATATGTATCATATTAAGTCGCGAGTGTACGCTAGCACACCTCAGACGAAACTAGAAAGCTACGTATATGAAACGTTAATTTAGTCTTCGTAGAGGAAGCGTCATTGTTTTATTGGCTGTAATGTATGCTTTACTTTCTTTAGATCACGGGACTTGCCCCACGGCATGGGAGTGAAGCTACATGCCCTCAGCACGTGTACAGCTGCAGTCATGACATATGAATTTGATGATCGATCGATCATCAATTGGGCTGCTAACGGTAGCATACCTTTGGCAGCCCATAGCAACCACAGTAGACGCTGAGTAACGTCACAATGCTGACTCAGCAGCTACGATTGTGACATTTGCGCGTAAGTTCGTTGATAATAAGTGCGGAGACATACGTGTTCTGCGCGTGTGCCAGTGGCGGATCCGGGGGGGGGGGGGGGGGTAGGTGATAGCTTTTTCCTCTCCAAAAATTCGGCGTCAGCACCTTTTCCTTCTTTTCAGGGCTTGTAGTCCACTTCCTATCACCAATTAGAACAAATGAGTGAAACCACTGTACTGAGCGCACACACTAAATGTACTCGTGTTATGAAGGTTTTTTTTTTTCTGCCAGAAGATACACCCATGACCACGACCTCCCCCCCCCCCCTCTTAAAATGAGTGGCAGTATTTAAAGAATGAAGTAAAATATAAAAATAAGAAAGCGTGACAGCTCTGGGACTAGAATACACACCAAAATTGTGTATGTTGATAGAAATAAATTACCACTATTTGCGTGTTACGATTTACATAATGATCGGCAAATTAAGCAATAGTTAATACGAAAGCGGGAAACGTGGAAGGCGTTGCAAATTGCATCCTAGTGACTGATTTCTTATCGTACAGGCCCCGGGGAAGTTTTGTGCGCTTGCGAAATTTTCAAAAGATTCAGAGTGTCAGCACGCGCATGCGTGTTTGAAACGATGGAGGAGCGTCCCAGGATTATTTGTGTCAACCTTGTGAAAATGCTACTTGAGCCTCCTCTGAGATCCCGCCTTCCCGTGATGTAACTATTACGTGCGAAACGAACGAAAGTTCATCGTATAAAAGAGGGAGACGGGAGAGAAAAGTGAAATAGCTTTCTTTGTGGTTCACACAATTTTAGGTGCATTATTTTATATTTGCACTTTGTGTCCATGACGCGTGTGCCAGGAAGTCCGGGACCCCGCGCATGCAGAAAAGCAGAGGCGCCGCTTTTTCGCAACAACGCAGCGCATTCGCGCCTCGGGATGTCCCACTTTGGTCGCCATTGGCTGAAAGGAAGCCGCTGAAGCGACGCGCGCAGAGCTAGTCTTTCTGTTTTCGCTTCGTTTTCTTCTCTGCGGGAAAGCTCGCATGATTTCCCGCGCTCGCTGCCAGGTTTCACCGTGCAACGCCCATGTTTGAGGATCGAGAGTTGATATTCCGGCTGGTTTGCATAAATGTGCACGTGATCGCAGTATTCCTCCTGTCAATATATTATTGTTTGTACCTTGATTTAGCGCAAAATTGAGGTTCGCGATCATAGCGGTGCGCTCGGAGGAGGAGGGTGAAGGCGAAGCCTCCGGTGCGCATGCCTCGCACAAGCTTACGAGTGCAGTGCAAAAAAGATCACCAAGGAAAACACCCCCCCCCCCTTTCCCCACCTGCTCTTTGCAGTGCATTCTCATTCGTAAGGCCATCGGCGGGAGAGAGGGGGATCGGAAAGAAGGAGAGGGGGGCACTGAATGAAGAACCTTGCACACTCCTGTGTTCGCGAGTAAAACAGTAGGTATATATCACATATAAGACAGGTGTCCACAGGAATCTGTATAGGCTTGAAGCAGCTGTGATAGAACTTGCGGGAAAGGAGCCATAGTACATTACGACAAGGGGAACTTGTATTCGCCATCAGGAGGACGGCACGCATTCTTTATTAGCAGTGAGTGTTTAAGTAGGCACATCCCAATAAACCGTGGGCTATATACGAAATATTTGGCTTCGTGCTCTCGCTTGCGCTGACGAGATACTCAATTGCCGCTCTACTCTATCCTTCCAAGATCTTCCATCTTTACTGCTTCACAGAGCCATGTCCTCACGAAGGGAGGTAGAAAACAGTGACCATTACATCTCTGCTTTCCTGATTCCCCCTCTCTTTTTCTCTCCGCATTAAAAAGCAACAGAGGATACGTATTGTGAAGCGTACAGTGAACTCGATTGCCCTTACTAAGAAGCGGTGGGGTCGAATAATTGAACCGAGCTACGCGTACGTAAACACTGCGGCTAGAAAGCTGCTCTGTCGTATTCAAGTGACCCTGTGAGAGCTTATATTCCGAAGGCGTAGAATACCTGTTTGCCGTAGTTGATTACAGATACGAACATGAGAAGCGGTAGTACAGGTTTCAGCCCAATTTGAGAAAGGAAGTAAAAGGTGTTCAGTTGTTTTGCATGTGGAAGTGATACATTTACACCTACGGAACTTTTCTGGCAAGGAGCTTTCGTTTATTAGATGCGAAGCAGCTATATTACTAGCCTGCGTAACGCTGTCCGTCCGTGGATGGATATGGCTGTACCCTTTAGATCGGGCGGTGGCTAGCGCCACAAAGCCGCAATATTTAATGAGCCAAAAACTAGATTTAATTTTTTGTTCTCTTAATAGTGATGTTGAGGATTCGTACTTTGCAGTGAAAGGTTTAATTTTCACTCGTGCCTTGACTTTAGCCACCAATCAGATAACCTCCTTCTAGTTAATTCTACCCGCTTAAAGTCTATTTTGCCCTCACTGTCCCTAAGCCCCAGTGCTTTGAAAAACTCTGCGCCATCATCCTGAACTATAGGGTGAAGCCCTTTACAGAACATTATCAAGTGTTCGGCAGTCTCTTCTTCCTCTCCACACGCACTGCGTACCATGTCTACCCCTTTGTATTTGGCCCGATATGTCTTGGTTCGCAATACTCCCGTCCTGGCCTCAAACAGTAGAGAACTACCCCGAGTATTATCATAGATCCTTTGCTTGGCAATTTCCTGCTTAAAAGTTCGATAGATCTCTAATGTGGACTTCTTAATCATGCCAATTCTCCACATATCAGTCTCAGCTTCCTTCACCTTCTTCTTAACCGGTAATTCTTTTTGGTTTGGCCCCCTGCTGTTTTCTAAGTATTTACCAGTCAATTTTCTGGTTCGCTTCCTCCATTTTGTATCAACATTCTTCATGTACAAGTAGCTGAATACCTTCCTCGCCCAACGCTCCTTCCCCGTTTCTCTCAATCGCTTCTCAAATGTTATTTTGCTGCTACAGCTTCCCTGCCCTCAAATGATGTCCATCCCATATCACCTTGTACTCCCTGATTTGGTCTATTTCCGTGAGCTCCTAAGGCAAGCCTACCTATTCCACGTTGCTTAATTTCTAATCTTGCTTGAACTTCTGATCTCATGCACAAGACCGCATTGCCGAACGTCAGACCAGGAACCATGACCCCTTTCCATATTCCTCTCACAACATCATACCTATTGTAATTCCAAAGTGCCCTGTTTTTCATTACCGCTGCATTCCTGTTACCTTTAGTCGACACGTATATTTCGTGTTTCCTTATATAGGCACTCGGTCCCATTGCTTATCCATACGACCAGATATTTGTATTTATATGTTATCTCTAGCGTGACCTCCTGTATTCTAAGCTCACTACCTTCATTGTCATTAAAAATCATGACTGCCGATTTTTCCTTACTTAGTTTGAAATCTAACCTATCTCCCTCATTAACGCAGATATCCACCAATCTCTGAAAATCTTCCTTGTTGTCGGCCATTAGCGCTATATCATCTGCGTACATCAATGCTGGTAGTGCCTGTTCAATGAGTTTTCCTTGTTTGACAAAAGAGAGGTTGAAGCCTAGTCCACTTTGCTCTAATTTGGCCTCTAATCTTTGTAGGTACATTATGAATAATAAGGGTGACAGGGGACACCCCTGCCTAAGCCTCCGTTTTACCTCTGTAGGCTTGGATACCTGTTTTTCCCACTTTATAATTACCTTGTTACCTTTATAGATATATTTTGAAAGATTAGTGACTACATCATCCACGCCTAGTGTGTCCAGTATTCCCCACAATTCCTCTTGAACCACGCTATCATACGCTCCCTTGATATCCAAAAATGCTAGCCACAGGGGCCTGTGTTCCTTTTCTGCTATTTCGATGCACTGCGTCAGTGAGAACAGATTGTTTTCCAAGCTCCTGTGTTTCCGAAGCCCATTCTGCAGTTCCCCCAGCACCCCTCATCCTCTATTCATGCCTGCAGTGTTTCCTTTATAATCTGCATCGCACCCCTGTAGACCACAGATGTCATATCTCCATCGTGTCTCCATGTTGGCATGTCTCCGCCGCAGCCGGGATTCGATCCCGCGACCTCCGGGTCAGCAGCCGAGTACCTTAGCCACTAGACCACCGTGGCGGGGCCAACCGAAACTATGTACAAACACCACTGCCTACATTTTCAATAT